CAAAGTGACTCGATTTGGAGACATGATACGAAGCTCTGAAGGTTCCGTATGGAGCCTATATATTTTAATGTAGAAAATATTTCAGAGTGTATAATCATACCGTGGTTGATTGCGCTACATAGCAATATCTAAGAAATTCGCTTACATCAAAGTGTCGCAAACAGCATTACAACGTTTGCTGTTTCAGCGTTACTTCACATGTGTATCGACTTTGTGTTGATTTTCTTGTAAGTTGGAAACAAATTCACTGATGACAGCCAACAAAGTGCGCCATTCTCCATTTTCTTATCAAATATTTACTATGCAAGTGAAGGTTACTATTCAAGCATGCTGTGTGCAAGAACAGCGTCTTTTCACGAAAAAAAAACCAAGACATATGCGTCAATCAACTTTTTTTCTTTTTCTCTCTCTGTAAATGACTCATATAATACAAAAGACATACTATATCATTGCCAAAAAATAAGGCAAGGTTGCATTGTGTTTTGTCGAGCCTTTTGAATACATAAAATATTCATTTTAGACTTCTTGACAGATTGGTGATCGAATAGCACAGAAATGAAACTTTTGGAAAGTTTATTTCTCAAAACTATGTGAACCTTTGTGAAGAGCACGTAAGGGTACCAGACTCAGTAGTTTTGGTGTTGACCTTTTAGGATTCTAGCCTGTAGTCGACTTACTATAGTCATTAGAATCGTCTGAAAGTTTCAACTAAATTGAATATTTCTTTTTCGAGATATTGAATTTTCAAGAAATAATCACTTTTCACAGAGGGGTGTGAGTGTAGGTATAATTGGTATCTACTCTTCACCAACACCCACCCTCACACCCACAGCCACACCTACACCCGCTTACACCCACCCACACCCACCCACACCCACACCCACACCCACACCCACACCCACACCCACCCACACCCACATCCTTCCATGTCTCCCATCAGACAATATTTCTAGCAGCAAATACAGTACTTTAGAAAAAGTATGCAGCAGTGGTGGATCCAGAGGGGTACGGTGGATGCGGCCGCGCGCCCCTTTTAAACCGATTTTACGCTTGTTTTTGGCAATTTTTCGCGGTGCTTTTAGATTTGAGTCCCATCCACACCCTCCTTTAATTGAGCCGCACTCCCCTTGAGAAATTTCTGGATCCGCCCCTGGTATGTATGTAGCTGCATATATGCATCAAATAGTGAAAAAATGTTTTGACTACAACTTGTTATTAGATTGGCTTCAGCAGATAATTGTTTCGTACTTGACATCAGGGTACTTGGCGTAGCAAATCCACGCAATATCAGCTGAAATCTCGCGTCATCACTTGGGACCTTCTCTTATAAGATACAATTACTCGATCAGTTCCAAGAAGTATCAAGCTCTGCAATTATATTTTCAGACCAGATTTTTCAAGGTCCAGTTCCAAGACTATATGAGAGACTCATGGAAATTTCTCATTGATTCGATTCGACTTTGGAAATATTTGTAGCGTAGGTCATTTGATTTTATTAGAGAATCAAGCGCGGATGACGAGAGAAATGTGAACCAATGAAAAGTACCCACGCCCGAAAAATCGTCACAGTTTGGACGATTAATCGCGATTTGTTGACCTGATTAATTATGAGATTAAATCGCGATAAAATCGTCGATTTTCACTCAACTATTCAAATCGGTAATATTATGAGAGATCACATGATATCATTCATCTTTTCGTCTCAGTGTATCAGTATCTCCATCGGTTTTCGTGTTCAAGCTCTTTGGCACCATTATTCACTCTTCTTCTATAGATTATTTTTGTTCACTGTCAATTCGATCCTTTTTCTGGAACAAGAAACATGAAGAAAATGGACTCAGGGAAACTCTACGGAAAAGCAATCTAATGTCATATGCCAATTTCATGAAAGTTGTGTCACTTTTGATGAATCTTGATTTTGTTGGAAAAATTGACAAAAAATCGTCAGTTTTGGCGATATATCGCGATTTAATCTTACGATTAATCGGGCCAACAAATCGCGATAAAATCGACGACTTTCTCGCGATTTTGAAGACATGGATATTCCAAAATAAATATCAATGAAATACTTATTTTTTCGAGTTTTAACATCGTTTCATGATTTGATTGAGCATCAGTCTGGACAAATATCAAGCAATTATGAGACATTACTCGACTCTTTTGTTACTCAACTCTTTACCTACAACAACTATTCTCTGTTAACCTAGAACTTTTCCAAACAAATTTCTTTATCAGACAGCTGTTTTGGTAGTGGCTTCGGCGGCAAAGCTCTAGGCATTGCTTTGGGTACTGCTGATTTGAGTGCCAGTTTTTGTTCTGTTTCCTGATGAATTGTTTGAAGATTGATAGCACTAATCGATCGAATAAGACTATTGGGAAATTGGTCTGTTGTCGTAATTTCTTTCAAATTTACCACTCGCATATCGTTCATAGGCAATGATTCATCTGCAGCAATGAAACGAGTACCAGAAATCAAAAGAATCTCATCCTCTTGTTTATAGAATGAATACTTGGATATGTCTTTGCCATTGTGGCATTCTATCATGAAGATTGTGCCTTTTTTACCATTTTCTGGAATGAAATTTTTCAATGTACTGAGCGATTTTGAACATGAAGCAAATGCCCACCGTCGAACACGAGTATTCTTCTTGTAGCGTTCAGCAACATCGCCTGTAACAGCCCGCTAGACACAACCTGAGAATAATGGAAGCTTGTTCAGGCCTGTGCTGAATAGTTTCAAGTAGGAGAACCATGGAAGTGCATTGACATCGATATTACTTCGGAGAATAGAGTTCAGAATTACATATAAACTTTGTTTGCCATTCTCCATAGTGTATAAATGAATCGCAGCTGATTGATCATGCGACAGACCATGTGGTGACTTGAGACATGACTTTGTTGTCAATGTCACTGAGGTTTCTATATTTGGAATGATACCGATTACAGGACGTATAGCCTCTTCCAGCGAGACCAGCGGTGAGTGCCAATATTTGTCAATACCAGATTCGATACTATTCGGTTCATCTTGATCGAAACATCGGAAGGACATAATTTCGATTGCTCTTATCAACTATACTGCTTTCTTTTGAAAGTAAAACGAAGACGATGAGTAATAATAGCATTTTTTCTTCTTTTCTTCTTTACACAGATTCATGATAAGCGTTACTTTCATACTTTATAAGTGACTACACTTCTTTTTTCATCTGCGATATTGGCGTCATGTTGGAAAGTAGGAAATAAGTTGGAAATTTTTACTGGAAAAAGAATGCAAGGAAGTAAAGAATGTTGTTGTTAAACAGAATTTTAAGGATGACTGTGAATCAATCAGAGCATCCTCATAACCCACACCCACACCCTTCAACAGTGCCCACAAACTATTACTCACGGAAAAAGGATGTCGGTGTGGGTGTGAACTTTTTCTTAATCCACACCCACACTCTGTATGCTGATAAATCGCATTACGTTTTTTCCCGCTGCGTACACAGAAAAAATTAAAGATAAGTAGAATGATTCAAAAACTTACGCAAGAGAACTTCCGTGCGTTGCACTATATAACAGTTTTGATATCTTGCCACTCTCTACTAGGTTTTTGCTTACATTAAAAGTTTCTGTAATTTATTTCTTTGCCGACGAAGAACGAGATATGTCTAACTTGGCGTTACTGTGTTTAATAATCTTGTGCTTTGTGTTTGGATCTCGAATTCTTTGTGAAAATGCAACTTGGAATGCAACAGAATTTATCGAAACGCGAGCAGTTAGTAACAAATCAGTATTGACCGATTTGACGAATACACTTATTGTCAAGCCATTAGAGTGGCTGAATTGGGGTGCACAAACAACTCTGAAAGTCCTGAACATTCTAAAGTATGTTGGCATTGCTTTAGCAAGCCTTTTGGGATTAGCAATACTAATTGGAATTTGTGCGTGTATTATAAAATCATGTTGATTACCGATGTCTGAATCTTAAACTCCTATTCATCAATAGTGTTGTCTACTAATATTTATATGAGAGAATAAATATATTTTTTTATTCCTATTTTTATAATATTCTATTGTTAAATTTGTTTCATGTTTTGAATAAATTAACAGAAATGTTCACTAACAGATTCGCTCACTTGGGTGGGTGTGGGTGTGGGTGTGGGTGGGTGTGAGTGTGGGTGTGGGTATGGGTGTGGGTGGGTGTGGGTGTATACAATTGAACTTCATTTAATAGCACAAGCTATGCTTACGACCGGTTTCGACCTTGCTTAAGGGTCTTCATCAGGTAAGTTCAGCTATTAAATTATAAATGCTGCAATTCGATTCTACTTACAAATTTGAAACAGTTCAATGAAAGTGAAGCAAAAACCAAAACTTTCACTAAACTACCATGAATATGTATGTTAAATGGTTTGTGAGTGCTTGTTATTTTAGCTTTTTGTTATGGTTAATCTGGTACGTGGTTGAAATATGTGGTTTGGTTTGGGAATGGATTGGTAATTTTATCCGGAAGTGTTGTCGTTTTTTATTTGTGTTTTGGTGATAATGTTTGTTTATTCTGCATAATGTTTCTGTTATGGTATTGTCGCAGTTCTGATAGGTAACGGAGAGCTAGCGGAGTTAGATTGTTGGAGTATCGATTAATGTTTAGTTTCAGTCAAGCTGTTGCCTAATAATCTATACAGATGTTGAGCGAACGTAGGCTGATTTGTCGTTTATTTGGCAGTGAAATGGCTTGATTTATGACGAGAATGTGTTGGGTTTGTTCAGTTAAGCAGGATACTAGTAACTGTGCGTCCAGGATTATACTTATCTAGAATCAAAGTTTGTATGGATGTGGTATTAGAAAAAGTGCACAAACATATTTTATTAATCTAAGGTTAACTATTTCGCACACAGATTACAAACACTAAAGGTCAACTAATATCTACGAGGTAAGTAAAGTTGCTTATATTGATTAAATGCTATTTTATAATAGTGACCATTGTAGTTTTAAAAGGTCACTGAGTTTATGTCGTGGTTCACATTGATGAATTATTCAAATTAGCACACCAATGTAGGTTATACGGAGGACCGTAACGTTTTTCAGCATTACCACCAAGTGGACACATCATATTCAATTTAGTTTCACCATGAATAATGAATAATGTTTCGATGGTGTATCGTAGTATCATTGAACAATCATCTGGTACTAAATCAATGTGAAAGAAAAACAGGTATAAATGATAATGATGATGATGATGTGGTTGATAAAGATAGATTTGCTTACAAACGGCAATAATTGCTATGTTATACAAATCTAATTTGATATAAGGTCGATAATGAATGGAAGACGTAGCAAATCGTTCGAAAAATAGACGCTGTTGTTTTAGCTGTCGAAATGAGAAGGCATAGGAAGTTGGTGGTAATGGTACATTATCTAGATAATTGGCCACCCTACGATTGTCTACGGCAGTAGTTGCTATCACAGCATCCAGATTGGGATCTGTAGTAGAATTTCCTAGACGATTAGCAACATTTTCTGTTGCTGCTTCATCCCAAGCTAGAGGAATAAAACACCAATACATAGGATTACAATCAAGAAATGAACGAAGTGTTTCTGGACAACGAGCTGAATGTTGATAGAGACGCATTTGATTAGCCATTTCTTTTCTACAACAATGAAAAAGAAAACAATGAATATGTAGCATAATTGAAAGAATGATGGAATGTCTTTTATTACTCTCTCTCGTCAGGATCGATTTGTGATCCTCGAAATAGAGGACTACCAGTTAATTTTTCATGTATAATTCGATTGCCATGTTCTCGATGATCTGTATATTATAAGAAAATGAAGAAGAGAAATAAAGGCATGCTCGTGATTATCGTAAGAAAATTTATATTTACAAGCCATAGCATCAGCCAATGTTTTTGCTGTTGAATCAACATAATCATAATGACCACATGGACGGGTCATGGCATAAATTATATTCGATGTAGTAAATGTCTAAAATTTAACATTTAAGAACAACATACTGCTGGACAATTTAGATAGGTAGTATAACCATTGAGAAATCGATGCATTGAACTTGAAGCAAAATCAACAACTGGCCATGGTTGACTTTTCTTGTAAGTATTTAATGGAAGACAACATTGACAAAAAAGATTATCACATGGAATCAATGAATATCTTGCTTGAGGTTCATCTCTTCCACAAAATAGACCTTCTATATTAGATCGAGGTTGAGCTCCTCGAAACGAACAAGTTTTCATATAGAATAAATCCACAAAAAAATATGAAACATATATGCATCATATATATATATATATCGACATGAAGACTAACCATCGATTTGTAAATAGAATTCCAATGTCATAGCCATTTGTTTCGAATTGGGTGTTGGTTCTTTTAGAACAACATCACTCTTACATAGAACATATCGTCGAAATGATTCATGAAATGCAAGAAGAGTATGACAGATGCTACGAAGTCGTTGTGCATTGAAAGTAATTATTGATTTGCCTACTTGTAATCGTGAAGCTAATTCATTAGCATCTTGTTCAGATAAACTAAATTCATCGGAATAATTGTACTTATTCATCAGCATCAGTGCATTGAACGTATAGGCTCCATATTGACGTCGATTAATTTGATGAGGTGCAAGACGACTAACTAAAAGACAATGAAATGAAATGATTTATAATCAATTTATATCGAACATACGAACCTGGTGCATTAGCCAAAAGTATACACTCATTTGGACCAACATATTCTGTTGGAAATATAGGTAAATAAGCATATCGTCCATTATTTTTATCTAATAATGTTCTTGATTGATATTCTTGTTGTTCATTATTAATTAACAAAGAAGTAGCTTGTTCTGCTCGAGTTAAATCAATTGTATTGAAATCCATATGCAATAGAAAATATTCTGAATTTTTGCTATTCTTTCGTATTTTATACTGATTATATTTTTGTTTTTTGCGTCAAGATTCTATCTGAAAGAGAGAAGGATATGAATGAAAAAAAGTTTTTGTTTTTCCTATCTAATTTCTTTTTCTATATGATTAAGAGCGAAGTTTATTCCATGTTAACAATTTGGTAGATATATATAACTAAGAGAATAAAGAATAAGAAAAAGTTTTTCATTATGAAGTTCATTTGTTCTCTTATATAGTCCGATAGATTATTTATTTCTTCCATACCATATTTTCGATAGACTATCCAGAGAGATTGTACTATGTCAATCGACATAATTTTATGCATACGAATAGCAATATCTCTTAGTTCATCTAAATTCATCGTTGATGGTAAAATGGTTCGAAGTTTCTTTTCAAAAGATGGATTTTTTGAACAAAGATAGTCGAGTATAGATTTTCATTCACTACCAATTGTTTTCGAAAGAATGATTTCTATAGGAAATTTTGTTATTTGTTTTTTTGTTGAATTGATTTTAAAAGGTGAAAATTGGCCAAGCTCTTTCGATACCACTTGTTCATTGACTATCTAAGGAGAAAATCATTGTTCATAGAATAGAAAGATCTTTGTTATTCTTCTGTCTTACTTTTGCGTCAGAAACTGTCCTACGACGAGTAATAGTTTTAGTAGAATTGAGATTTGATGTTGTCATTGCCATTTGAAATTGAATGGGAGACAACAAAACAAAGATAGAATTCTGAAAGTGAGATCTAGAAGAAAAAAGAAAAGCAAAACATCAGAAGATAAATTTGTTTACTACTCGAAAAACAAACTATGAAACATGACACAAAAAAAGAAGTGAATGAAATGTTACAATAGAACTACATTCTACAATATTGCGTAAAATGAACAATCGAGAATGCTAGAGTCGTCAGTAAAATCTATAATAAGCAATAGATCGTTATTTTTCAGACGAACCATGAATAAATTTTATAATTTGTTGAGCACGTTGTTCGATATTATCGAGACGAGCTTGAATAATAGCACGCATTGAAGGAGAAAAGCATTTCATAGATGATAATTGATTCTTTTGATCATTACCATCAATGTCGAATTCATTTTGTTTCATATTTGTTATTGAATGATTACCTGGAATTATTCCTTTAACCATAACTTGATTACTTCTTGACTAACGTTTCTTTTGTTGACTAATAACGTTCTCACATGCTCTTAACTTTGATTGCCAAAGCTGTTGAGCAGAATAAACCTATGAGAAGAAGAATAAGAGAAAGTTAGGCTAAATAAAATATTCACCTGTTCTTCTATTGGATTTAAATCATAGAATGATTTGACAAGATGTGCATCATGGATATCATACGTAAATAAGATTTTCTTCTGTTCAAAATTTGTATTGAAATGATGCAAATCATTTTGCATGAGAACAACAAGAGCATTGCATATGATATTCATCCATTGTTAAAAAGATATTTTATCATCGTTCATTTTTAAATTTGATGAATATCGTTGTAACTAATTGTATAAATTAATTTCTAACCGTTGTAATTTATTTCGAATGAGATTTTGTTGATATTGAATATTTAGTTTTGTTTTCGAATGATCCCAATTAATGGAATTTTTTTCTGTTACATCTTTCGATACTTCTGATAACCAAGCCACAACAGGCATGTTTAAATTGCCAATGTAGTACCAATAATCTTCTTCGATTTTCAATTGAAAGGAAGTACACATCAATATAGCAAGTTGTTGTGAGAATTGTAACATTTCAGTACTTGCTAACCATTGTTGAATCTGATAATGATCCGTTTGAATAGTTTTGCAGAGTAAATGTTTGAATTCATGAGAAGACAAGATCTTATAATTTGGTAAGAGTTTGCATGTCAGTTTCCAATCATCTGTAGGTAAATCGTAATGGTTTTTCATTTTTTGATGTGTTCTTGAAGGTGATGAATTATTGCCTTGGTTCTATACAAAAGAAAAACATCGTATTTATTTTTTGTTCATCATTTGATCGTACTTGGTTTCCATAGAACATGGACACTTGAATATCCTTATTAGCATTCCTAACCAAAAAATCATCCATCATTTTATCGTGGTCTGTTTCCCGATGAGTTTGATGAATGAAATTATTGATTTGATGCATTGTCAATAATATTTTTACGGTTTGATCGTTCATTCCTCGTGCTCGACATTCCCTTCTATAGCGTTGGAGTCGCCGATTACCACGGGACTTTTCTTCTTTAGTTCCTTCTTGTTATTCTCAAAGTTTTGTTTTTGTCCAATGAATATTTGTGTTTGTGAAGGTAGTTCATACCAACCGGCTTGCGCATTTGAACTTGACATTTTGTTTGAACCTTTATTATAGTGGATATTATCAATATTACTATCTAAGAAAAAAAACTTATTAGCGAAGCCTCAATGAAGCTGAGATGTGGAACTTAAGCATGTTCTCTAGCTTCGCTAAACTAATACAAATAATGCAGAGCGAAAAATTTCTAGTACATTACTATATAAAGTAGGAAACATAGTGAATATATGAGATAGAAAACAACATTTTCTCATATCATCTAAAGAAAAAAGTAACTAGAAGAAATACAACAATAAAAAACCAATCGCTTTAGTGATCATAATAATGAATTTTTCAAAGTGAGTAAGACAATAGGAGTGATAGTTCAGAATGTCTTAAAATTTTATGGTAATATATTATTGACAAAAAAGTTCAACTATACTAAGAACATAAAAATAAGACACATGCAGAAAAAAAAGAAGAATAAAGTGACATGTATAAATTGCAATAGATGGCTAAAAATCAAGCATTAGAAATAAATATTTAAAATTGACTACTCTCACTTCATAGATATGTATTATTCGATCGAGCCAAGAGAGTATTCGATGAATAACAATGTTTAGTATTAAGTTTGATTTTTAATTTATATTTTTTAAACTCTGGATCTTGCTCGAGAATTGTAGACCAATATTGATACAACTTTTGATTGAATTGACATCTTGAACCCCAATCGAAAAGATAATGTAATTGAATTAATTGATGATTCTTTTGTAGTTGTTGTTCTTCGAATAGATCACGTTTTTGTTGATCGATACAACAAAATAATTCATTACGAAATGAAAGATATGTAGATCGGTTCAAATTCATTGATTTTTGTTCATTTGGATTAAATCTTGTCAAGAATCGTTTGATATGATACTTGATAAAATCTAATGAATACCCATTAGCCAGAAATGTTAATTCAATATAAAGTCGTTCGTCTTCAAAATCTTCGAACGAACTACAATATTGACCAGCACGTATAAGAGCAGCTCGAAACCATTGTCGATGAAATAATCGTGGATGACAATGCTCATAAGGTAATAAAAATGGTTGAATTGTTGAATCATGATGGACATGAGTATGTAAAGATCCTTTTCGATTTTCAATAGCAGCATGAAGAAAATGAACATCACTACTAATAAATGTTGTCATTTGAAGATTCGAATCCAGTTCTTGTTCAAGTTTATTGAATAATGTTTGCAATTGATCAATCGGACCATTCCATGTTAAAAAACCTGTATCTTTATATCGACCATAGAATGCATCTTTCAAACAAATATGTGTAACTAATGAATATTGCCAATGATACATATAAATATGACATAATAATTCTATTAATGGTAAATTTAATGGACCTCCTTGAATAAATCGATAGATTTTTCCATTGTAAGAGAAAACATTATTTCGTAAGACTATTGCAGGTAATTGTTGAATAGCATCACTTGATAATTTTTGATGTCGACCATTGACAAATGGATTTACTAGAAATATATCTAATGCTTCAAGAAGAGCCGAATGTGATATCTTCGTATATAAATCATGAATTTTAAATGTTGCAAAATATGTTTTCGGTAGAAGAAGACCTGATTGTATACAATAATATTGTAGTTTTTGTATAAAATCACCACCATTAAGAAATGTTGTTGATCGTGAAAAATTATCAAATAATGGTCGAAGAAGTTGATTAAGATAAGTAGCTAGAGTATATATTGAACAATGATGACATGACGATAGTCGTGGTTGTACTGACATATGAACATTTTCATTTGTTTCTGGTAAGAAATAAAGATATGGAAGATTGTTATTTGTTTTTTTGCCAATACTTAATCTGATTAAATGATCTTCTTTAATCGATTTTCTTTGATATAATATTTCTAGTTGTAAATCAATAGATTGAATAATTCCTTCTAATTGTTGTTGTTCTGTATTAATTTCATTAATTGTTTCAATCAGTTCGTAACAAGTTGAATTCTGAATATATTCATTCGATTTTTGATTAAATTCATTCAATCGACCAAGATAATATGTATTTATTTCATCAGCGGTTCGCCGTAGAATCAATTGATCTTTATTCAATTGATATGTAATTGATATAATGAGTTGTTTTTCATAGAGTGCACGCTCTTCAAGTACAGAAGGTATAGGTCAAGGGGGAACAAACTGATTTCGTGATTTCATGATTTCAGATGATTTCATATGATTTCAGGTGATTTCAGGTGATTTCAAACTGATTTCAGGTGATTTCAAACTGATTTCAGATGATTTCAAACTGATTTCAGCGATCGAAATCAGTTTGTTCCCCCTTGGTATAGGTTGAAGAAATGATTTATTGAATAATTGTTCAATCCCGTTTTCAAAATGCATTTGACGAGAGAGATCGATTGGATATTTGATGAAAAGTTTTGCAAGTTCTCGTTGAAGTGGTGCCATTTGTTTCGTAACGATTTGAGCCAGTATTAAAGAAGATTTTGATAAAATATGTATTTGACATGGTGGAACATAGGTTGGTCCACGATTAAGAAATGTAACTTGTTCCTGTGATAGATGATGTGGTGTGTCTTGAATTATTGATGGTGAACAAGTAATGTTTGATTTTTGGATAGGAATGCTCCGACGATCGATCCAATCTAATTCTTGACCGTCGGAGCATTGACGAAAAAACGCAATTTTAATTTGTAAAGACATATAAGACGTTCATTAATATTCTTAAAACGTCGTTCCATAATATTCAACATTGTTTGAGTTAATTTTTTATGTGATGAGTCAGAAGATTGATTTTCTTTCATTTTAGCCAAGTCTGTATCAAATTTCTTTTCATATTCATTCATTTTTGCTTCGGCTGTTGTAATATAAATCATCATCATTTCGGATTTCGTTCGTTGTAAAATTTTCTCACATCGATCCTTTAAATGTTGACGAGTCATCGTATCAATAATTGTATCGAATGATATGGGTGGAGGTATTTTAAGTGATTCAAATGATTGTAGTAAATGATTATAAACCATACGTTGTTTTAATATTGCTACATCAAATTTAGATGTTTCTTTTTCATATTTGGCTTGAGTAAGATTTTCAAATATTTGTTTTTGATATTCATTTGCATTTTGTTGGTAATATTCTAATTGAATCAATCGATCATTATAATCATATTGAGCGATAGCAATTTGTTCTTCTGTAGGTACTTTATATATAGGTGTGACATGTTGTTGAACAAAT